ACAACGCCAATATGATGCTGAAGATAAAAACGCTGTTTAGCCACCCAATTCAGGGGCCGGAGAAAAGGGAGGTTGCATGATGTAAAAACCTTGTTCCTCGAGACTGCACTTCTAGCCAGCCATGAATTGTATCCAATATCGTGAGCTTTCAAAACCCCAGGATATCGTTCTCCACTTGGCTCAAGATGAGTCTTGTCCACTCAAATACATTTCTTCTATGAATTGTCCCATGGGATTATCGCTGGAACCCAAGTGTTGCATATGTGATGCTCGGGTCCTGTGTTGTAGCGGGTTCGGTATCGCACGCGAGCTAGCGGTCTGACCCATGATTTCTGCGAACGTATGGTGTGTTGCCGACGGGGGTGTGGCCGAGTTGTGCGGGTGTACTTCTGTTGACTGAGCCGCAGGACGAGCCGGAGACTGATATCGCAGCGGCGTATTCTGCGCAATGCTGCCTGACGATCCAGGAGCCATGAACATCCACGCACGTGGTGCCGGTCCCGTTTGCGATGGCGATACAGGTCCAGATGAGTTCAACGCGGTTCGATATCTCGGTCCATGTAAATTTTCTGAGCTCTGTACGGGTGACAAAAGCTCGGGTTCAACGCTCGAGGAACTGGACCGACGCTGCCGAGTCCTTCGAGACAAGTCGTCATATTCGTCGTCATCTGGAAAAGGTCGCCTCTCAGCCACGGAACGGTTGACATTGACAAGGGGACGTATATCTTCACCGGCCATGATTCGCCGGTAGAAGTCTTCCGCCATCCCCGATCCTGTCGTCCAACCCCTGATCCTCATTATGTCTAAAAAGGCCCGGGTGGAAGATGGTAACAGTTTTGGCTCGGAATGCAGCTTATCACGACAATACGGACAGCTGCCCGAGCTCATAAGCCACTTGCGGATACAATGGCTGCCGAATACGTGCTTGCATTTGGGAAGCCTGAGGGGCTTCTCACTGACGCCCTCGGGCGACGGTGTGTCGAATTCATTGTAGCAAATCATACAGGCTTCAATAATTAGCCAATAGTTGATGCAATACCGGATGTGATTCACCTACTTCTGTCACCTTGTGGTAAGTCGTCCACCTTGACTGGCTGCAGGTTCTGTAAAGCCTCTTTCCGCGGATTCGTCGAAGTAGTGTGAGGCAGCTGGGCTCGCGCATTCTCAATTTCTTCATAGTTGCCTGCATGACGCAAGATAGCCTGGCGACGAGGACCGGGATGACCGGGAGCAACATGAGATACACCAGACTGTCTCAGAGCATCACCGCGACTTTCAGAGGCCGCGAATCTGGCAATACCTGGCCGTCCTCTACGTGTAGGCTCAAGACGTCTTCGCTCGGAGAAGGAAAAGGTTGGGGAGCTCCGGTCGTTGCCAAAGTTTGGATTCAGAGCTGTGATCGTCAAGTCAGTAAAATAATTTCATCTATCATCTATCTTTAGAATCGCGGTCAAATTTTGTTCAGATGCAAGTCTCTGATAGGGCAAAATGGACGGCGAGCGGCTGGCCAGCTTCACGGCTTCCTCTCTCGCTCACAACTTCGTTCTCTTTCTTTATAGTCGTGAGCCGCAGATTTGGGATTCTTTTTGGACATACCAGAAGTAGAATGTGTTTGTCGATGTGCTTGGGATGGCCGACTTCGATTCTGAATGTTCAGTTGTGAATTGGGATTTGGCTGGCTGTTGTGTCGCCAATGCGTAGAGTGGGCAGCTGCTTCAGGATAGTATGTCATGGGAATTTCGAACTGCTGGCTCACGTGGGAACTTGATCTGAGCTGCGGATGCATTGAGCCGATTGTTGACTGCCTATTTGCCACCGGGGGCTCCTGCGCAAAACCAGCGTGTGGGCGGGGAAGAACAGATGGGACAGCTAGACTTCTGGAAGCTTGGTATATCTGATTATCAGTGGGAACAAGCGATGACCCAAACAAATGAGCTGTATAAGGGTCGGGGTGATGTGGAACTGGGCCAGCGGCCCATGTACTAGCTGGCGTGTAGTATTGATTTATGTCGGCCGAGGTTTGTAGCGCGCTAGGGACACTGATGGGCGTATACGGCCCGTTCTGAAGCGATGTGGGATAAGAGGAGATGAATGCTGGATTGGCCGGACGATCGTGAGCAGGATACAAAGGTTGTTGATGGGGCCATTGTGGCGGCATGGGTTGTGATTGAGACCATTCCCAGAAGGACTGCGGCATGCCAGCCGTGTGAGCTGGCGGTCCAGGTGTATTATCATGGGTCGCGAAATCCATGTCATCCATGACTCATATTACCAGCGGTACGGCGAATGTTGTTGAGGAAAGATGACGATCCGACACTGGGTCGACGAAGACTGGGCGTCGCAGATATGTGCGCGTAGGTCCTGATAAGTGACCCGATGGGGTTCGTTTGCGGAAGAATGTTCAGATAAGAATGTCGGCCAGAAGTCTGTTTCCTAAAATATTTGGTTCGCCGTCTGGGAGCCCCGACGCCACGGGAAATATGATAGGAAAGCTTGGAGGTGGTCAGGTGGATGCAATCCAAGAGGAGTGGCGATCTGCAGCGACAAGGCGTTTGTCGTGGATAGATTCAGCCAAGTTCAATAGCTGTACGACGCCCAAATTCGGCGGCGCCGTATACGGCTGTAGAAAGAAGTCGGCAAAACGCAGTTCGAGATCGATGCTGATAGATTATGGCCTTTCCTTGCGCTGCTCGCGGAGATGGAGGATGGATAGCTCGGAGTTGGTGGCGTGCGGGGCAATGAGTGACTAGGCGGCAACAGGAAGAATAGCCAGGTGATGTAGGCCCGAGCAGAAAGCCTAGCGAAATGTCTCGAAGGGTGTTTGAGAGTTGGGAGAAGCCATCCGGCAGCGAAGGAAAATCAACCGAGACTTGGGCACCTAATCAAGGCAGGCAAGAGGCACGAACAGTTTGGTCGTGGGCGGAGCCCGTGGCGGTCGTTGGAAGGAAAGTAAGCAGGGCCGGGCAGAGGAGCGCTCACAGCAGCAGACGGGGAAGGAGAGAGCGGCCGATAAAGGGTTGAGAATGGCTACTTTGGATAGGTAGGAAGCAAGAAAGCAAAAAAGGGAGGCAAATCAGAAAAAATGTACGGCAATGGGGCCAGATACAAATGTGGAATCGACAAGTGAGTGCTGAGGAGTGACAGTCACGCCAGTCCAGACCCAAGACAGAAGCAGGATGGAGGAAAACGGCAAGACAGAGGGCCACCTGTGACAAGGACAAGGTACCAGGAAACAGGCGAAAGGCGGAACGAACAAAGGCAAAGGCTGTCGAGAAGTTGACGACTAATAACAAATGGGGACAGACGAGGAGCGATCTAGCGGGCCAGAAAAGCGGCGGCGGGCAAAGGGCGATGCAAAGGGCGTCTTCATAAAAGCTGCGAGTGAGGCAGGGCTCTTTTTTTCGGCCTTTTCTTCTTCCGTTCTTCTTCCTTTTCCTGGAGCAGACTTGTGAGCAGCTAGCTAGCTCTCTTTTTCTCGACTCGTGAGAGCTCAAAGGGCCAACGGAGCTGGTGTCTCTACGCCGAGCTACGGCGACGGTATTGGACCAGGCTTTGCGAGGGAAAATCGGTGGTGACGAAACAGAGGAAGCAAGCTGCGTCTGGACATGCAGGTGGATAAGTATGTATGGGACTTTGGCAAAGTGTATGTGTGCTGGAGCTTTGGGAGCACTTGTCCGATGGTGTCCCGTGTGCAGTCGAAACTTGGCTGTTGCTGTGTATGTGCTTGTATTATTATGTCTCTGTGCCTGTGTGCGCGTGGTAGTGACTTGTACAATAAAAGTACATGTAAGATGCTGGTGATACCGGCGTTCCAAAAAGCCGTATTTGATTCAAAGCCACAGGAGAGGACAGATGGCGAGGGCGTTGCTAATAAAAGACGGCTAAGAGCAGGATAATGTGAGGGGAAAGGCAGAGGGAACTTGGGGCCAACTAAAAGGGAAAAAAAAAAAAAAAGGAAAATGCAAAGTTCAAAAACGAACCCTGGCAATAGATGGCTGATATGCCAGCGCGGGGCGGGCGCTCAGTCAGGCATGGATGAGACGGGCGCGCCTGGGCCGGCCTTCGACCTGGCATCGGCCACAGTTGAGAGAGGCCAGCTATGGATGAATTACGCTATCAAGAAGCAAACTAAATGTTAACTTTGGTGGCGTAGGAGCGCGCGAATGTTGTCACCACCAGGCGCATGTGGATGCCGACGAAAGCTAACTATGTTTAGTACCCAAACTAATTAGCAGCCTGCAGCAGCGGGAGGAGAGACAGACACGGCCAAGCCTGCGGCTGCTGATTCATTCGGTTGGGATGCCGCAAGGAGGATAACTAGTGGACGAGGGAACGTGTGGCTTGCGATGACCAGTAGTAGTGTGGTGAATGGGCGGCCCAGATGCGGGGATGCGAGGGTGGGAGATGTGACGGGTTGAGCTTGAATCGTTAGCAGGTCGTCAGCCAATGCCTTTGACTGGTGCAGGTGATGACCGGTCAGGAGAGCGAATTTATGACCTCGCAACGATAAAGTGAGGGAGGGGGGGTTGGCGCAGAGAAGGCGATTGGGGTGGGTGGCCGGCTTTCTGCTTGTCTCGCCACCAGTCAAGGCCGAGCCTGAACTTGTCCCGTTCAAAAAGAAAGGGCGACCAAACACAAAGCGTGTCGCAGGGGGGTTGGTGGAAGGTTGTTGCGAACGTACGAGATGGGCGATGAAGACGATTCCAAAGAGGGGTTCCGACCTGGAAGGTGGTCCTACATACGTATCGGCTTTTACAGGGATGTGCCAAAGGGAGATTTACTGGTAACTACATACGTAGGTAGTTTTAGCTTTGCTTGCAGCCTGGTGTCTGGCGCCAAAAAAGGACATGTCGCACGGAATCCATGTCACCATAGTTAGGTAGTATCAAGTTGCACCCAACTAATAACAGCGAACAGTGCACCTTTTTTTTTTTTGCTTTTTCGTTTTCCTTGCACACATGTGTACTTTGACGTCTTCTTTTGCTTTTCCCCGCCGTTGTTGGTTCACCGATAGTGTCTCCCCTCCTGCCGAACTCGAAACCGGCCGAGCCTACGTGTGTCGGCAGTTGCGGCATGTTCCGTCTTTCGCCTCTTGGGCTGAAGCTGTTGCCCAATGTGTGCTCGGCGTCTTCGGACCTAGTTACCTATTATTGGTAACTACTGAATATCTGCCTATTCACTCGAATCACTAACAAGAGGAATTGGCGCCCATGAGAAGAGGATGTTGGAGCAACAAAGACTATTCCACGCAAACGCGTGCCAGCACCTGGCAACTCGTGTCGATGAGTTTTGAGTCGATGTCTGTCATTCAGTGCCTCATCCTCACCTCATCTTTGCCCCCCCCAGCCTAACTCGGCACACAAGAAAATTCCCCATCCACAACCTGCAATGCCACTTTCCCCTTTGCCCAACCGTTTTACTGGTTAGTTACTGCGCATCTCCTTTACGTAGTTACGGTGGAGAGCAACGGCGGTGCACAATCTCATCTGGAGCGAACCCGTCTAGCCGCTCGTCTTTCCTCGACTCTCACTGGTTGCTGCGGGCGTTTCAACGACAGAGTCGACCGGGGGGGGGGCTTGACCGAACGGGTTGTTCCATCTTAGTTTCTCCGCAAGTTCATAATGTTGATAATACAGTCGAATAACTATTATTAGTTGCCCCAGCTCGAATTGAGATGAAAGCCTGCTATCCTACCATCAGGTAGACGCTAACAAGGCCAGGCCGCAGCACCATCGGCTGCTGACCTTTTGTCGTCGGAGCCTGCCGCCGCGACAATGGGCACGGCGACGGCCAGCAACCTCTTTCAATTATTCGTCTTTTCTGCAAACTCGTTCTCAAACTCCAAGAAACGTCAGCTTACGTAGCAACGTCCCTCTCAGCCAGCCGAACAACCAGTTTTCCATTACAGAATCATCACGACTCGCATAACAAGGCTCTCGGCCCAGGTTTCGTCGAAGCACCTTGCCAATACGGCTCGTAGGCAACTGCCCAGCGGGCCAAAAAAAAAACAGCGTCATGTGCGTGCACAGCTGGGCGTTATGCCACGGCGATACAACCAAGGTTTTTTCTTTTCTTTCTTTTCAGCTGACCAGGTATCCGCCAGCCTCCGTCGTTTTCATCGCTCTCTCACTCAAATGTGACATGTTTCCGAGTTGGCGGGTTTTTTTTTTTCTTCGGAAAAACAGCCCTGTCCTACCGCGTACTGGTAAACTGAATCGTCACACCAGAAAGTTAGCCGCCCGTCGGCGAAACAGCAGCTGGTGGTCTCTCCCCCCCCCTTTGGCCTTGGTGGTATTACCGACTTGCCACAGAAAAGTCCTGCATTTGTCCGACGTGCACGCAATTTCCCCCCTCTACACATTGTGTAGGTGTTGCCATTTTTTTTGGAGGGAGGAAAGGGGGGCGCTAGCTGCAGAGCATTGTCAAATTACTCGTCGTGCTCTGGTTGACAGTGACATGACAGAATTGCCCAGCCCGCAAAAGTGATGAATGAGCTGTACTATATGAATTTCTCTCAATATAGCTACACGAATAGCTACACGAAGCAAGACAGTACCCAGTTGTGATTGAGTACTCCGTATGTGTGCTTCGTCATGTGCAGTAACCTATCACTTGGCACCATCCTGGCGAGATGCAATCCATCACGTAACATCAACATGCAACTCCGGCACAGCAGGTCCAATTTTAGCAATGCTCAGCTACGATGATGCACTTTGACCTTTGACCATGACAAGCAACCATGCCGTCCCCCTCTCACTTGTACAAACGTACCACTCAAGCCTATGACTCGGCATACAATATTGATTCTCTGGACCCAAGCTGCCATGTTCCCATGTCACGACTCCATTGGTTACCCAACTCGGCTCCCGCACTGTTACACGTGGAATCTCGGGGGGCCGCACCGGTGTCGCACCGGCGGCCGCTCGGCGCCGCGAAAAAGGGCCAAAACAGTAAACCCGCAAAACCAATCATCCGCACAAGGCCGCATGGAACATGACACGTACCAAATGGAAGACTCACAACAGCTCCATGTAGTACACTGTGCAACCAAAAGACTCGCTCTTCCCGCTGATATAAATCGTTGCTTCAACCCGTTCCTCCTCGGCGCCAAGCCGAATTGCCGCTGATCCTTTCAACGTTGACGACTCCTTTGTGCCATGACACGGACCTTGTCAGATGCCTTCTTTATACATCCAATCAAGGCAGGTCGACATCTGCGAAGCACTCATGGTCATTCATGATTGGGGTAAATGATATTTTCTTGTGCACCACATCATTCCAACAAGGCTTCTCGTACACTCAGTGTGTATTTCACACAAACCGGACCGTAATATTCGCGGCTGATGTCGCGCAGCGCATCACCATTCCATGTTGCACAGTGAGCATCACCGGCAAGGGGTCTCGGTCTCGCACCACCGAGGACGACGAGGTGAGCGAACAGTCGACGTGACGCAGCTGTCCTCGCTGCCTTGGGTGCCTGCCTCACTTCTTGGGTAACCGATATTTGCCACCGGCCAGTTCTAGCTCCCCAGCCATAATTCTTTCTTCCAAGAACTCTTGCAGCTCTTCGGTGCTCCAGTGGCATCCGTCCGCGATGAGCATCTTCATCATCATGGCAATTTGGCTGAGTGGCATGGCTGGTGCCGAGTTTGTCAGCATACCAAGGATGAACTGCCAATAAATAGTGCGCCGCTCTGCTTCCTTCGCATCCATGACCTTGGCTTTCTTCGGGGAGACACTGCCAGAGATCTCTATGCCCTCGTCGACGGAGCCATCGTCATGAGCATCGGCTACGGCTGCTTCAGAATCCAAGCGTTCCAGAACCACGTACGTCCGATTACCGACATTCTTGAGAACCTTCTTCGTCATCCAGAACCGAAGCGCAAGTTCGAGGGCATCCTCATCCATCAACAAGCTCTGCCAAATCTCTTCAAAAGTGCGCTGCTGTGCGCCCGTGTCGCTCTGCGTTCCGTCGCCTTGAAACTCGAAAATCACTGCAGCTTCATACGTCTTGCATTCGAGCTCGACGGTGCGGTCCTCGAGCTCGAGACTCACTGTCGCCGTGCCCAGGTTATCTAGCCATCCAAGCTTCCGAGATGATTTGAGTTGCTCAAAACCAGCCTCGTATTGTGCTTGGATTTCTGCGACAGGCCGAGGAACCTTGAACGTCTCCTTTGTCAGACTAGGCCAGAACAGACGTGATAAGATCTTGGAGTGGTATGATAGACCTGGAGCGCCGGGCTGTTGCGCACTGCGGATTTTGCGTCGCAACACGGCGTCGACCCGCCTGGAATCGTGAATATCTTTGACCATAACGTCACAGTTTTGCAGCGCGTGCTCGCCAAACCTCTTCTTCAACAGTCCTAGAACTTTAATCTCTTGCTGGAAGCCAGGCTGTTTCGACAACAGTCGCTCTGCTATAATGTGCTGAAATTCCTTGATGAATATGTCTTGCGAGCCAAGCGCACTGATCAGCGTGCCAACGACGTCCTCGTTCTTAGGGCGCTTGTAGTTTACGCCGGCATCAACGGGATCTGGGACCCAGTTCATGTCGTCCCATCCAAGATCCTCCTCATCAATCGCTATTCTTTGCAGTTGAGACGCTTCGTTCATAATAACGGCCAGCTCGACAAGCTTCGTTTTGGCCTCGAGAGCATTGATGCCTTCGGGATTTGCGAGGAGGCCCGTAACTACAATTTGTATCGCATCATCTCTTTGGCAAAGGTAGAGCTGCAAGGCGTGCACTACTCGATCAAGAAGCACTTTTGAGTGATCGAGTGCGTGAAAGGTTCGAATCATGGAAATGTATGTCTGCAGTATTTCCAGAGTAGACCGGCCTGGGTGGAGCAGCCGATGCTGTAGGGCGGCTGAGAAGGTGTCTGTCAATGCCAGGCGTCGTTGGGGTGTTGTAACAGAGTATCCCAAATCATCAAGGCCCCCTCTTGTCTCGGGCCAGTGCAGAACAATGTCAAAGAGCTCGTGTATTCGCAGCGTTGCCAGACGACCTATGGCAATATCACGCCACTGCTCAACATCGGCCCATTTCACCTGGCCTCCGAGCTGGCCAAAGACTTCCACAGCCAGTCGCCCATATTGGTTTTCCACCCAGTCACATAGGTGCGCCATGCAGCCGGGCAGGACCGATCCCGTGTTTGGGTCCTTGACCTCGATTGCGCCCCAGACTCGGGCGTAGGCTGTCTGAATGAATTCGTGCATGCAACTATCCATCAACTCTGCAAACAGCACCTGAAACTTGTCTCCGGCGAGACCGACCTTTTGCAACGACTCTAGAAGGCTCAATAGCTCTTTTCGGGCGGTCGATGCGTTGGGATCCTCAAAATCATGCCTGCCATCAAAGCGCCGCCCGATGCTCAAGATGGTGCGCAGCAATCGCGCGAGTGCAGGGTTGAGGGCATTGATGAGACCTTGGGTCCATGAATTGCCAATGACGGCATGCAAGTCTCGCCTGAAGGTGCTGGTGGCCGTCTCCAAAGCAGCTTCATCAGAGATACCTCTTACGATGAGCAGCAGGCCATTGAGATATTGTCGGTGGGCTGCGGCCAGGGTATTCACCGTGCTCGTCACAATCTGCGACGTATCCGCGAGGCCGGCGCAGGCAGCAAGCAGCGGGAGGACATGGTGAACAAAATGCTGCCGAACTTGGCGTGCGTGCCACAGCAGGATGTCTTCAGTGTGCGTTGCGCGGGGCACACTGGTTGCTGGATCAAGCACGATTGGCAGTGCCTCATAGAAACCTGAATCGCCGTCCTGCGACTGGGGCGGCAGCGTGCCAAAGGAATCTTCGATGGCGACGGAAGAGGGAAGTTGAATACGGGATGTGACCAGATGCCAGGCCCGGTCCCATTTCACTTGGTCCGACAGCCCGGCATCGTTGCCGGCCGAGCGCCTGCCACGCGTCGACGCGTTATTGGTGGCGAGCGGTGGCCCGCCAAACGGTTCGCCGGGTGCCGATGAGGATAGCAGTGGCGTGGGCAGTGATAAATCGGTGTGAAAGACGGCCTTGAAAATTCTTTGCCGCTGGGCGCGCACCGTCAAGGCTGGCATGGTGCGGGCGTTGTTGGAAGACTTGTCTGTTTGTACGGATTCGGGGATTCGGGGATTCGAGGTGTTGACGGGTTGCTGTCGCGGGTGCACGTGTTGTGTGGTGGTGTTGTGATTTAAATGGAGATCACAGCAAGAGACCTATAATAGTAGAAAGCTTTTTTACTCTCCTGTAGAAATTTCAAGTGACTCGCTCCCTTTTTCTTCTTCATCTGCCGTACCTGCTTTAGTGATAGAGTCGTGTGATCTCTATGAAAATGCAGCGAGAGGGAGTGACGAGCACTACTCTTTGAAGCCCTAGCTTGGGATTATAATGCGAAATAAATCCGTCGTTTCCAACCAAGTCACTTTGGCCGAGTGGTTAAGGCGGTGCCCTGCTAAGGCATTACGTTCGCGTGCGTAGGTTCGAATCCTGCAGGTGACGGATCTCTTTTTTGTCCTCCATCGACTTGGTAACGGAAACTTTCTTTTTGCATAATAGTGTATAATCTGACAATAGACTGTGCTTTTTTTTTCTGCTCTTTTACCTTTATTTATAAACCTGGTATAAATAGAGTATTCTCTACTTGTGTTTATAGTCGTTTTCTATGCTAAAAGAAGAACATTACCTAGGCGTAAGAATATATAAACGTTTTACTTTTTTCCTTGGCTTTTTTCCTGCTAAGTCGTGCTGCACGCTGGCATAGCGTAATAGCATTCCACGACGACAAATGCTGCTAAAGCCTCGCGCTTGTTGCTATTGTCGCCAAAGCAAAGGAAACAAGTTTCATTTTAATTAGTTCAATTTCGTATATCGATCCAACTTTAAGCTGACGACGTGTCTCAAATATACCCATCCATCCAATCCATCACACATGAAATCACGCCTCCCTTGCCTGGGAATACTCCCGGTCTGCCAGCTCCTCTGCCCGTCGCTTCTCATCACCCTGCGTTACGTCGTCGAGGCCTAAACTGGAGACAAACTCATTGGTGATGCTTGCCACCATGTAGGCAGCGAGCTCCCGCTGTTCACGCGCGTCCTCTTCCTTCAGCCGGGCTACCTTGTCCTCCTCCATCGAGGTTCTTCGCATCGCCGTGATCTCTCGCAGGATGTATACGAGCGCTTCCTCGGAGCACCGGGTTCGAGGGCGCTCTCTAAAAAGAGACACGGCGCGGAGGTATCGCCGAGTGACGTCTGTGGCACCATCAACCGAAAATGCAATGACATATGTCAGTGCCTTGCCCCAGCCTACACGGACGTTAGTTAGTAATAGCAAATCACGCGGGAAAAAGGGCTGACTTGCCGTCGCTGTAGAGTCGGGGTTGGTCAAAGGCGTCCTCGCAAGGGTCGGCGTGTACCCATCTGCTCTGGCTAGCCGAGTAGACTTCAATGAAGACGTGGTCGGCTGCCGTCCAGACCCAGCGAACTCTCGCCCCGAGTGCCCTGCAAAACAGACCAAAGCAGTTTACCCATTCTCCAACGCGGCCTCTCCTTGTTTGCATCAGGGTTCTCGTGTCTTTGTAGCGAGGAAATCTCTCAGAAGATTGGCAGCTCAAGTTGGAACACCTGTAAAGCTCAACTCGGAGGGCCCCAAGTGCCGACTCCTCTGGTGTTGGTGTGCCCATCCCTTCTGGGACTGTGGCAGACTGGCACTCTGAGCAAGGCGGATTATTGACCCAAGTAAAGTATTCATGTTTGAACCAATTCATCATGACGATGATGGAACAATCCGTCAAGTCCCAGTGCGGCTGATTTTCAACACTGGATCCCTGGCTGTTCTCTTCGTAGGTCGACACTCTCAGCGCCGCTTTTGCGGATATCTCTTCCAACGGCATCGTAACCCGAGCCAACTCTAGCAACTCATCGTTTTCGTACGATAAAGGCACGTAGGAGAGACTCATAAGAAGGTTGCGAAATTTCTGTGCGTCCTTGTCTCCTTCCGCCGGCGGCTCTGGAATGAGTGGAAACCTTGTTCTAAATCGTCCGCGAAGAGTTGCATCTTTGGTACTCTGATCATACGACGGAGGTGATTCTGCCATGGACGCGCCTTGTACAACCACAGCAGATTTCTTGACTCTGTTGCGAATATTTTGCTTGTGCTTTTGTCGCATCAAGTCGACGAATTGTGCAGCAGTATTTTTGGTCCATTCTATATCGTACTGAGTTAGTTGTGCAGGTGGCAAACTATATTCCTTTTCCTTGGTTTGGTGTTCTTTATCCCCCATGTACTCTGGCGATGACTGGATGGTCGCCATGGGCAGCCTTGGGCGGAGTTGGGTTCGGTCTTCCAGATCGTTGAATATGAACGCAGCTGGTATGATCATGGCCGCACCCGTCTCTGGAGAGCCGGCAACGATGTGGCCAAATAGATCCCCGGTGCTGGCGTGGATTATCCAGGCACCACAGTCTCCGATTTCGAGAGGACAGTCAAGGGTGACATAGTAAACTTCCTGATATGTGTTTGCAGTGGGTAGGCTTGTGTACATGCTTGTACCAGAGAGTCTCCCACTCAGGATACCTCTAGATGTGATGGCCAAGATTCTTACATCTTTGGGACCATCGACAACTATGTTCCGAACGGTCAGAGTTCTTCCGCCGTGATTGATCGAATTCGGAACTTGGTGACTGGCCTCAGAGACCTCGATCAGATTGTAGTCAAGATTGGTTGCGAGGTCAGCTCGCGAAGATATCGAAACGGAGGAAAGCCGAACAGTTTCTCTCAGGACCGTTTGCTTCTGTCTCCTGAATTCGATAAGGGTTGGAGCGACAATGAAGGGTTCGCTCCCCTGCAGACTATCGTTGTCGTCGCAAATGTCGACCTTGCTCATTGCTGCGCAATCGAGTTCCAAGTCATCATCGGTACCGTGACTGATTACGTCTTGGTCGATGGAGAAATCGCTATCGGTGTCTGAGTAAGAAGACTCGCCATATGGATCTTGTTGGCTGGCAACACGAAATGCATGCTCAGCCGTCAAGTAGAAGAAGCGTTCGCCAAGCTGAACAACGCCACCAACTGTCGCGGCTCTGCTTGCAAAGAAATCCTGGGACTCTGCATGAATGACGAGTTCCATACCGCAGGCGTTGCTATCAGGTACGACGAGTCCCTTGATGACGAGATCCAATGCCGGCCGAGCGCCGACGTCAGCCATCTGAACGAGTTGGTTGAAATCCGGCGGTCGGGACGTATGACCAGTCTTGATGCCGGGGTATTTATCCAGGAGGCCACTGTCTTTAATGACGTCTCGCACTAGCTTGCGATGTGCTGGGACTTCGCAGCAGAAGACGATGGTTGGGCAAGCAAGCTCGGGAGATTTGCCAATCATGTACATGGACCAGGTCACCCACGATGATACAGCTTCCACGCCATTTTCGAGATGCTCTTTGATCCGTGGTGAAATCTTGACAAAGGACTCCCGCGCAGGGCCGACAGCCTCCCAGCATAGCTCCTTGCCCCCGAATTTGCCGATCTTGCGCCCGACGGAGAGCGTAGGCTCGGGCCAGGTTGAGCCCCGTGAGGTGAGGGCTCGCAGGGCATTCAGAGTTCCCTCGCGGACAAGGTTTCCGGGGGCGGCTGTGGTAGTGCTCATGATGGAGGCTTGAGTATTGATGGCCTTGCAAGAACTGCTGGGCTGAGCGGGAAAGCTTTGAGCTAGGCTGCGCAGAGATGTGGTCGTATGCATGCTGACGAAGAGTTGTGGCGCGGCATCTACAGAAAAGGATTACAGAACTTAGTGCGCTGTATGTTCCAAGACCACCACCGTTGGGGTGTGTGAGAGTCGTGCCTGCTGATTGATCCAGGGTATACCTAGGTAGGTAGCTGACTTAGACGCTCAGGTCAGAAGGGAAGCGTGACAGGCAAAATGCTTGCTTCACCATACACTTTTTATTTTTTACTTTTTCTAAGTTAGCCTCTTCTTTCAGTATCTAGGTATAAAGGCTGTTACCAATAAGCAATAAGCGTTAAGCCCTGGATCCTTGTCAAGGGAGCCTAGCGTACAAGGCCTAGCGTACAAGGGCCGGCCCGCCTCTATCGTCCTGATGGCGCCGTGTTGGGCTGCCACTGTGGCTGACGCATTTTCTTCTCAGGCACATTCTTCACAAATGGAAAAAAGCGATAAATACCGACGTATTGACCTTGCCGCCGCTTGGCTGACCATTCCAGTCGTCAGTCTTGAACTGTCTGGTCAACATGAGCGTCCAGACTTTTGTCAACACGAGCGTCTTGGGCGCCACGATTGCCGATTCGACAAAAGCAGCACTCGAGGACGCATTCTGGGACTGCGAGGGCGCGCAGCTGGACCTGGCCGACATCAACCTGAACCGGTACTGGAACTTTTACCAAAGCGAGTGCGCCAAGGCGCTGCACGGCGGCGGCAAGCACATTGCCACGCGGACGCACCACGACGTGATTGAATGCGTGCGCATGCTGCGAAGCGGCCAGGAGCGCCGCGCCGTCAAGGACCATTTGCGCGCCCGCCTCACCGCCTTCCACACCAACGAGGACGAGATCCTCGACAACTCCATCGACCTCGCCGCGAGCGTGCTGCTCATGATGAACTTTTGCACCTACCCGTACGGCTTCTCCGGCCGCCGCTGGCTGAACTGGAACAACGGCGCCTCGCTGCAGACGCTCCTCCACGACTTCTTTGGCGCCGACGCCGCCGCCGCCGAGACGAGGACCGACAGCGTCGTCAAGCTGGAAAAGATCTTCACCGCACACAACCTCATGCGCATCGCCGGGCTCCAGGTCGTCTGGACCGACAACATGCTCGACCACCTGCGCCTGACCGACGACGATCGCCGCGTCCACGTCTTCCACCACGCCTCGTTTCTGGAAGTTCAAAAGCATAGGTAAAAAAGTTTGGCTGCCCTTTGGGGCCGTCAGCCAGCCAGGCAAAAACAACCTCAATCTGACTGACGGATACCTCGAGCAGCCCAAACTGCCTCTTGCCGTGCGGCCTCGCAGACGAGACGCTGCGCACGCTCGCCCTACTCATCCCCTCCTCCGACCCGGCCACGCGCACATGGTTCACGAGACAGGCCAACTATCCAGATCTCGACAAGCGCGCCAGTCGCTATCGGAGACTGAAAACGGATGATCGCCAGATTGAAAAGTTTCCGTTTTGGCGGGACCGGTTGCTCATGCTGAAGCAAGTCTTTGACGAGGCACAGCCCCAGTCACTGTCCCAGTGGTGGTACGACCGACGCAATGGTGTCCAGTGGTATGTCTGATTGCGCCTTGACCTCTGGGTGCCGTCAATAACGGTCTACGCTAGGTATACATTTTGGGTTGCTGTCCTTGTCTTGATCCTCACGATAGTATTCGGCTTGATTCAAAGTATCGAAGGGGGGCTGCAAGTGTACGCCTCCTTCAAAGCTCTAGAGGCATCAGCGCCTCAGAGCCGGTGACTTTGGGGGGAAGCCTCTGCTGTCATTCTTACCATGACTCATTGTTCAAATGGGATTCTGGAAGCAGCGCGCAAGCACATGAATGAAGAAGATATACCAACCATGTTCGGGGGACAAGTACCACTGGTACACATTATGATTGACTTGATTGACTGAATGATTGAATGACTGAATAATTAAAGTTCACTTTCCGTGTCGTTTCTTCCCTGACCAAGTCATTCCTCTTCTTTATCCAACTTCTTTGGCAATATATACATAGATGCATAGTGCCGACACAGGAACCCTAGGAACCCCTCAGTCGATGGACCACTTGACGCCCCGGCGGAGGGTACCATCACCGTCCTTGCCGCCAAACGCCTTCCAGTCATCCAGGCACATGTCGAACGACTGCTCGTCGCTCGTGTTCTGGTCGGCGACAATGACCTTGCGCGTCACGCCCTTGTAGGTCATGGTGACGGTCTTGGCGCAGAGCTTGTTGTGCTGGGCCTGGCCAAACTTGTCGAAGACGCGCGAGGGCACTGCGACCAGGGCCGCGCCGGCTGGCACCTTGCCCTTGAAGTACGTGCTCAGGCCGCACGCCCCCGAGTCGTACAGGATCTTGCGGCAGCGCGCCGCGTCGCCAAACTGGAAAATGGACCCGTCGTTGGTGCCCGACGTGATGCTGCGCTCCGCAACCGCGGCGGCAGACGTGCCCAGGGCCAGGCCCGCGACGATGAGGGAGAGCGACAGATGCATTTTTGAAGAGGGGTTGGTTTTTTTTTTGTTCAGGGTATATAGAGGAGTAGCTTGATCGATTGCAATGGCAAGGCCAGGATATATCACTCTCGACGAGGGAACCGTCCTCTGCTTTTATAGTCGTTTCTCTTCCACCTTCGCCTGACTCGGCGGAAACAGCATTGCCGCGATTGCTGCTAAAATCTCACATCAGGAAGGCTGATCCGTCTGGTTATGGACAGTGAGGCCCCATGCTGTGTCTCTCAATCGTTGCCCGTGCGTCTCTCCCATGGACAAGATTTCCTCCAACGGCAAACGGCTGACACAACCACGGCCCCAGGAACAGGTTCCCAGGCCCGGTAAAATTAGGCACCGCAACGCCTAGCGCCCGTAAGCGCATACGCCTGTTTCACCGGATGCTGTTCGCTCATAGGTGGGAAAAATGGCCGGAGCCATGATCGTTTTTGACGGAAGAATAAAATCGCCTGGATCGCACCGGACGGGAATTTGCCGCGGGTTTAACTAGGTTGCAAAATCGTGGCTCCTCCCTACCTAGTTAGTCGTGTACAATATATAAAAAGCCACATGGAACAAGCCCAGAGCATTACATAATACAGCAAGTCCGGCGTTTGTCTTACATTCATCTCTATATACACTTCGAAACGAGGGCTCGAGTCTCGATAGGTTCAATTGCCACGGACGTATAAACGAAAAAAGTCTCGGACGCCGTATAATTTCCCGCGCATCTCGCCCCGACTTCTGCTTTATACAACCGACGGCCGCGGCCAACGCCCATGTTCAGGCCAAGCACTTTCCCAAGAAATTCAAGCCAACAAGTACCCGAACCCTCCCCAAAAGAATAAAGTCCCAAGGTTCAAACTCCATTGCGGATTCATAAACAAAACCGGAGAAAATAAAAACACTATATAATACAGGTTGGGAGGGGGTATCTGGGTACAAAATGACCACGACAATGTACCGCCCCAACCTTCTATTCCGCTCCATATGTACGTGTGTTGAAATATACGTGGGTTGGTTCTCATGTCACATAGGTCCTACCTCTGGCAACATGACCCGACTCCGGCAGGTCAAGCACTGCTGCTTCCACTCGGTTTTCGCTTGCACTTGTCGTGCAGCATATGCCCATTTCGCGCCGTGGTCCTCGTGAATTCGGCGCCGCAATTGGGACACGTCGCTTTGGCGGCCTGGCCCGACTTCTCGCGCTGGTGGCGCAACAGGTTGCTAAAGGTGGAAAACTGCCGCCCGTTGCACCCGTGGTCCCAGCAGCGAGGCTTGGGCCTGCTCGAGGCAACGCCAGAGGGCGAGACGTCCTGCGGCGTGCCGACAGGGCTTGGCGGCATGTGGTACATCAAGCTGCTCTCGTACATATGATGCAGCGAGGGCAACGGTTGGTGGCTGGTCCTCAAGCTGTTTGGCAGGTATTAGTAGCACGTTTTTTTTGACGGGTTTTCTGTCGGCAGAGGGGCAGAGGGAACGCACCCAAAGTCGCTTGCGCCGAGGTATCCGTTTGGGTACCCCATGTGGACGTTGTATGAGTGCGGGCTGTTTTCCAAGAGATTAGCTACGCAGAATCGCATGTTCCGTTCCTGAGGGCATACAGAGGATGTTGGTACGATAGCGAGTACTCGTGCGAGTGCTCCGACGTGGGGCTGTAAGCGGGCAGGTAGGACGATGCCGGCATGAGCTGCGGCGAGTCCGCCATCAACGGCACGGCCGTGTGCGCTGTCGGGGTGTAGATGGAGAGTCCGATATTGCCAATGGCATCGGTCGGGCTCATCATGGCCGCGTCGGCAAACGAAGAGCTGCTGCTGCTGCAGCGGCGCCTCGCAGTGAGGCGGGAGTCTCTACGAAGACGGTCCTGCTGGCGCTTGAGGCTGTGGTGATCTTGCGTAAACGAAAGACAGCTGCTCGATGCCGACGACTTTGTGCTGATAGGAGACATGGGACCGCCGTCGCTCGTCTGGCCCTCGACGTTGAAATCATGTCCAAACATGATGTCGTGGTGGTGGTGGAGGTGGAGGTGGTGGTTGGAGCGAGGATCTGGTCGTCGCAGTAGGCCGAGCCGTTAGCAAGGGAAAAAGGCCGCTACTCGTGGCAATATTTAAGTCGAGGAGCGCGCCATTTCCCACCTACCTTGCCAGGACAAGCCACTTTTGCTTCCAATCATCGAACTGGGATCCAATGACAAGGCTATGGCGCTGTAGCCTGGTTAGCACTGGGGGCTGGGGGGGGGGCAGCAGCAGGATGGGTGTGGGCTAACTCGCCTCATGATGAAGTGGGCAGAGACTGAATCTGAGGCAGAAAGCTATACAAGGAGGGTGTTTTCTTTCTTTTTTGCTCTACTATCTGTCGTCTTGAGAGAGGTAGAATTGACCTTGCTGTCGAGTGTCCAACAGCGTTCAAGGCCCCGGCGTGGTTGGACTCAAGGTCGGCCTGAGTGCAAATGGGGAAGGCTCCGCGGGGTGTATGTATGTACGTACGCTGGGAAGTGCGGCACGTTTTGCAGAGGTGCGCATGGGCTCCCAACAAGGTGAATGGCAGCAAATACTCGGGGCGGCGCGCTCGAGGGGGCAGGTCGCCTCGTCCCAAGGGTCTCTCTCAGAGGAAGTCTCGAATCACTTCGCAGAAGAGTGGTGACGGCACCACATACAGGGCTATACTACTGAAGATCTTCCGTCTTAGTTTTCCGGGGAGCCGGTCGTCTTGCAGGATAAAAGAGGAAAAAAGGCGCCGTATATGGAGGACTGTACGTATGCGGATGGATGATTGGCCTGGGGGGGGGGAAGGCAGGTGAAGCGACATGGAGCACCGGCAGTCGGCAAGACCTGAGCCAACTTATATGGAGTGTTTTTTTGTCGAGTTGGCATCATCATCCCAGGTTGTAATAGGATGATTAGAGTCGAGATTGCATCGCGCAACTCACAAGGAACTGGGGCGGGCGTGGCAACATGGAACCCCATTTCGACCTGCCAGCCTGAGCCTGATGAGTAGTCCGTATGTGGGGGGGAGACGAGTAAAAAGAACTTGGTCCATGGCGGAGGAGGTGTGTCGCGCACCTTGATCAGGAGAGGGGGGGCGTATGAGCCGACGAGCCTGAGAGGTGGAAGAGAGAGGGGTGGGCGGCAGAAACTCCTGTGTCGTCCGACTAGCATGTCATCTTGTTCAGGAAACAAGACTAGGAAAGGCCCAGCGGGGGTTGTCATCCGCCGGTTATTAGCAAGTGCTGGGTAACTAAACTAATGTTGGTGCGATTGGGTTGGGGAGGAGCCGAACTGATGGACAGGGACAGACAGCGTCAGGGCCGCTGACCTCGAGGCTCGACATGAGCTCGGCACAATCCTGAGAAGCGGGCTACAGACTCCTCTTCCGTCTCTGACAAAGGTGCCAATCCCAATTCGCCTGCCCAATGAGGGGGAGGGGGGGGGGTGGAAGAAGAGTCAGCTCTGCTATTACGGATTACCTGTTGGCAGACACGGCATTGTGCGGGGAATGGCGCGGTCCACAAGCCCTCCCTCAAAGCAGTAAATTTGCACTGGGCTGGTGTAATAACGGACAGAAGCAAAAAAAAAAAAAAAAAAAAAGGGCCATCAAGTTGGGAATTGAACCGGACAGAAGCAACAGCCAGCCAAGCCCCCCCTGGCAAAGTTGCTGGCGCCACCCCCGGAGCCGTTGGGTGGTTCCTGTTCTCATTCGTCGAGGGGAAACTGTATTAGTTTTCTTTTGTGGCTGCATTTTCTCTGCGTAGTGCGGCCGCAAGAGGCAAGAAGAAGTGCGAAGTGGTTGTTCCTTGGCCGACGTTATCACGATATTGCTGTCACTATTTTTATTTTTTTTATTTTTTTCCCTGGTTGGCCGAGACCTTGTTACCGCCCCGCCCCAGAAAAAAGTCGGACTATTTCATTTCAGTTAGCAGTTGTTCACGGAGCCGAAGCGGAGGGCGGCGCCCCTCTATCGGATACGCTGGCCTTTTTCCGATCGGGAGCAAAGGCCAAGCCCCGGGGAACACTCTGCCAGTTCCATGACAGAAACCAGCACGCCCACCCACCCAACAACCACGACTACAGTTGCAAAGAGCTCGCAAATCGAACCCGGAATATCCTCTGATTCTTGTCCACTTGTTTGTTGGAGAGCTTGTTGGTGCAACAAGCCAGCCTCGATGCTGCCCCCCCCCCGTAAGCCGCCACCATGGCGAATAAACGAAGGACGGTACTAGCTGTACACCGGGGCCACCCACCACACCATGCAGAACAAAAAGGAAGTTGACGCTGGGCTTCATTGTCCACTTGCGTGCCTGAAAGAACAAAAAGACAAAAACTGGTTGTAGTGGCTCTCGCTTTGTTTTGGCCGCTTTTATTTTGATTTGCTGCGCGTGGCGCTGGGGCCTATATGTGGAAGCTGTTAGTTACCCCCCTTTTGGTCAGAATTCTAGTTGTGACTAGCAAATTGAATAAAACAGGGCAAAAAGCCCTCCAGTTGAAACGCAGTAAGAGCAGCCTCCCCCCCCCTCCCCCTTTTGTTATCACAGCTGTGCCTCCAACAAGGCGGACGAAAATGCTACCAAACCAGCAAAGCAGGAACAGAAAGAAAAAAAAAAAGACGGCCAACTGTGTGTATCCGTCCGCAGCCCTACCGGTGGTAAGGGAGGGGGGGCACGACCAACCCGTGCGCAACTACGTGGCCGCCCCCGGCCGGGACAGGCCCCCACTAGACGCCCAGCTATTTTCGGTCTTCGCGCCCGCTAGGCCCGGACTTGCGGACCCAGCGCGTGCGCAAGGGGGGGACTGGGGACTGCGTTCAGCCCGGAGCAAAAGCCCGTCACTGCTTGCTTGCTTCGTCTTTTTCTTTGGCTGTGCGAGATGCGAACCTGCAGTTCCCTTGCCCGCCAACTCTGTGTGTCACCCAGAAAAAGATCGAACTCGTATGGAGTTGCGCCCCCCCCCCCCCCCATCCATGTACGCACGTTATCTCAGCGCTGCTCGGCTCGCTTTCCACTAGCCCGCCCGCCCGGCCACAACCGATTCCCAAGTCATCAATGAGGCTCTCTCTCCCCCAGCTTTTTTGCGCAGTTGGTCGTGACAGATCAGCGCCGCCGCCGCCCCCGCACTATGCAGAGCCGAGGCTGCAATGTAGTCATGCGATTCGGATGCGAATCTTCTTTCGTCGCCAAGACGAGTCTTTTTGTTTCAGCTCCAGCACTTGATTGATAAGAGTGTGCCATGTAAGCATCGTTTATGACGACGGGGGGCCATGAATGGAGCCACACATGAGTTACACTGCGGAGTAATACCTGTTACATTTCTTTGGTCTATTCTAGCGCAGCCTGGGTTTGGCACCACTGCTTAGCCAAAACCGTCTTGCTCTCCTTGTCATCACGGCTCAAACGGTTGGTAAGCGCCCGGTTTCTCATGCCCACACCCCTACCTGTACGACATCGCTCCAGCTGGTAATTAGAGAGCCTTGTTTCCGGTTTCATCGAAATCGCCGTCTCGCTATCCGCAACCGAGCTAACTAGTCAGTTACCACCAATGCACAAGGATCTTGTGCAACAGAAGAGACTACATTGAAAATCTACCGCGTATGCTTCGTTCAAGATGGCATCTTCTTCGCTTTTGGGTGCTTTGGTCACATCCGAAACTCGCCGAGCTTATCCCAGATGTGGACGGTGCAACAATGATAAAAAAACGCTCAGCAAAAAGCCCTTGTACCCGTATGCATATCCGCACGTGAGCTAAAGTATTTGATTGGGCGTCAGTGGCTTCAGTAGTCCTTGGTAATTTATCCTTGTAGGACCCCAAGAGCCGAGATGTCTGCTAGACTGACTGGCGCACAAGACAAAGATGGCGGCTATACATTGTGTCTACGCCATCGACAAAAATTCAATACATGGATCGTTTTATATTCGCTTCCATAATATCGGCTCCCGTCCTCCCGCTCCCGTCTTCACACCTCAGTTGCCTATACTCTACTTGATCGCCCACCGGCTGTGACACATCCCCACTGCTTCACTCAACACCAACAAATGAAAGGAATAGAGCGCTCAATCACATAATCACTTGGAATATTCCGTTTTCGTTTTAGCTCTTTCTTCTTTTTTTAGTAGTCTCTGCATCGAGCATCGGGACATCGCGCGCCACGCTGGGGTCGTCAAACCGCGCCGTCCAGCCTCGTTGCTCGCATCGCCTCTTTTGTTCGTACCAGCCTCAAGGTTCTGGCCTACCTTGGATTTCTCTGCTGCCGCTAAACGTTGCAGCACCTGAATAGCCCTGTTTTCTCTCAGCTGGGACAGGATCCTGCCAACTCAAAATGGTTGCAACTCTCCCGATACAGAGACAGGCCGCGTTCTGTCAGTATGAGAATCGGCTATGATCCTCTTTCGAATAAATTGGTCATAATTATCAGCGTCTATTACTAACGAAGTGTGCTGGCCGAGTATTCAACTGGCGACCCGACAACCGAAAAAATAATGATAGTACGAATTCATGCTCCGTAATTAGGACAGTTCTTTGAATTCCCGGGCGGCCCATCACCTACTTGCTACCCTATGGCCAGTCGGAGTGATTACATAAGCACCCATGTGAAGGCATCACAGGTTCATCCGTCGCGGGGCCAAGCGCGCTGTGGAACGGACGCCTGACGTTGCACACCTGAACCGGCGATGAACCAGAGAAAAACACGAAGCAGCCAAGTCCTTTTAACCGAGTCTCTGCAGATTTAGCGCACTGTCCCCATTTTACAGGACTGCGACGCGCCATTTCAGCTTTGCCAAGGCACACTGTGTCCTCTCATAGTTCGCCCGACCAGGCAGCAGTTCTCCGTCGTCCCGTCTCTCCTGCCAGAACGGACCGCCGCGGCATCAACATCCCGCACGCAGACCTTGTCCTTTTGTCCCATACCAACACAAAATTCGCCTTGTTGCGCTCACCCCCATTCGCCGTGTTTTGTTGGCTCTTTCCGCCGACGTTTTCTCGCCGCAAAAAAAAAAGGCACCCGACATTTTCAGGCTTCGTTTGAGCCGGGGGAGGGACGTGTATTAGAAAATCGCCATGTCTTCCTTCATCGCCGAACTGTGGGAGTCGGTGTTTGTGCCCGGCCCGACGCCCGCGATCCTGCGCGCGACAAACGCCAGCTTCGCCGCGCTGCAGGTCACGCTCTTTGCGCTCCTCGTCAGCACCTACAGCATCCACTTTGTCATTCTCTCGGTGCTCTCCGCCGGGCTGTGGTGGTCCATCAACTGGTTCGCCGCCGAGCTGGCCGCCGCCAAGGCGCGCGGGGACTTGCCCTCGCCAGACGGCCCGGCCGCCGAGACAGCGGGCGCCGCGGCGCAGACGGCCGCGGCACCACCGCCGCCCAAGGAGAACAGCGACGAGGACACCGAGGTGGAGAGTCCCGCCAAGGAGCGCCCGAAGAGGGGCAAGAAGGCGAGCAGAGGAAATGCCGGCAGAGCGGTGGCCAAGACGGCGGCAGATGTGGAGGCGGTCGAGGCCAAGGGGGACCTGAAGCATCGCGTTGCGTCCCTGTCGGACTCTACTGGCTTCACGTCCCAGTCCAGTGTTAGCACTGAAGATGAGTGGGAGAAGGTTTCGGAGAACGAAAACGACAAGACCAAGTAATGATATCACGGGTAGTGCATAGCTCATTTTTTTCTACCAGCGTTTGAAGCGTAAATAAAGAATATATAAAATCAATTGCCATTTGCTTAAATACGAAAAAAAATCACCATCTGTCAAGAGAGGAAAAGAAGAAAGACGACAGCTGCAAGTAAACTCCCCTACTCCAACTTTTTCAATCTCCTGGTAACGAATGCAGAAACAATTGTGCTCATCGCGCCGATGAAGAGGCACACCGAAATTGCATTCGGTCCAGTCGGCGCTATGGCCGGTGCCTTGTCCACGTCCGTACCTAGTTCTCGGCTCTTGCCTGGCTCGAGAATGCCAAAGACAATCATGGATATAAAGGTGCCGACAAACTGCGGCAGCGTGGTGTATACGTTGAGGATGCCAAAGTAAATGCCAGAGAGCTCCGCAGAGGAGCCCGACTCCGGGGGGCCCTCCCCCAGCACCGTCATCTCGATATCCTCGCCAGGTAGCGGGCGATAGGCTGCGCCGCCTTGATGGGCAAGCTTATTGACCTCGATGCCGAGAAACGCGCTCGGCGCCCACCCTGCAATGGCCCATGGGCTACGATACATGTCAGCTGGGTCACTCACTGGAAACGAGGGAAAAAGAAAAGGAACTATACGTACACGGCGCACAGACACACCAGCGCTGTAGCAAAGCGGTAACTGGTCGCAAATGGCGCCAGCATCATGGCGGCGGCGAAGAGAACGTGTCCCCAGATCCACGTCGTCAAGAGGTCCGGCCGCGACCGCTGACAGAGCTTGAGGACCGGCGCGAGCCTCGGGTGCGGCCGCTGGGTGTACGTCGGCTCGTCCGGGGAGCGGACGAGGAGCGGGAGCACGAGCGACGCGCTCAGGGTAATCAGCGACGACAAGACAAAGGCCTGGCTGCCGATGCGGCCAATGTCGCCGAGGGTGTCGCCGGAGCGGGCCGACTCGGGGGCGTCGTAGCGAAAGTACGTCTCGCCGACCCAGGTGGTGCTGTAGAAGAGGAAGGGGAACCAGCCGATCCAGGACCAGAACTGGGCCCAGCAGATGGCGCGGATGCGCGGCGGCAGGTGGCGGATGGCGGCGTAGATGTGGGCGACGACGCGGAACCGGTCCCGCGACGACGACGACGACGACGACGACGACGACACGGGCCGCAAAAGCTGCGCCGCCCCTGCCCCGCGGTCCTTGCGGGCGTCGTCGTCGGCGAGCAGCACCTTTTCCGTCACCGCCCAGCACGTCACGGCCGTGGTGCCGAGAATGGCCAGCACGGCAATGAGCGTGAGCAGCTGGAACTGGGTGTCGCCAAAGGTGGTGCCGAAGATGTGGACGAGGTCGACGGCGCCGCCCGCGTAGCCGATGACGTTGCCAATGGCGGACATGCGGCTGGCTAAAGGACGGATTAGCATAGACGGACGGGACAGGCTTTGCTTCGCGGTAGACTCTCACCCCAGGCGGCTCCAGACTGCTGCTTCTCAATAGGAAGCGTGTCAACAATGAGACTGCGCGAGCAAGACATGACTGTAAACTGATGAGCTTGCATGGTATCAAGAGGGCCAGGGGGGGGTTACTGACCGGCGTTGATGGCAAAATCGACAAGGTAGATGGCGAGTACTGCAACCACGATGGTGGGCATCCGGGCAGCCTCGGCGTCTTGTACGAACAAGCCCACGAGCTCCTTTGTGAAACCCAGAACCAGCATGGCGGCGGCCACAATCACAGCGCCGAGCACCATCATGGGCCGTCGGCGACCCCATCTCGACGTGCTCTCATCCGACAAGACGCCAATCACGGGCTGGACAATGAGGCCCGACAACGGCCCGGCGATCCACACCATGGACGTGTTGCTCTTACTCAGGCCAAGGCTCAGCAGATACGGAGTGCAATCTGGTGTTTTATTTGGACGGCGGTCAGTTTTCGGGCAGTCACACAACCCCACAAAGGAATGGTTTTTGACTTACACGTCATCTCGACTCCCCATGTGAAGCTGCCGCGGGGATCAAAGAATGTGTTAGAAGCAGACGTTTGGTTCGGGGCTTCGTGCTTCGATATAAATATCCTACTTACGTGATGCCAATGGTGCAGAAAGTCAGCAGCACCATGCGCATGGCCTCAGTTGAGCCCCGAACGGAGGACTCCCCTGCAAAGGCCGCCATGGTCGCAGCGATTTTTTTCTTCGTTTTACCTCACAAGCCGTAAAAGAAGAAGCGCGTGCAAGACAACAACACTCATCAAACACCAACGGAGAAATACGCGCGTTGTTGCAACCGTGGGCCCGCAGTAGTGATTGGGCTGTCTAGCGTGAGCGTCCTGGTCTGGTGTCGCGTGTCGCCCAAAAGTCCACCGACGCGCAGAGGCCAAGGGAGCGAGCAAGGATGGAAGGAGTCGGATGTGGATGAAAACGAGTTCCAAGCAGGATGGAGCAAGTGATGAAGAAGCGACGTTGCGGTCGGGATGTACGGATAATGTGCTGGAATAAGGAGGTTGACAGAGACACTGCAGCACCAGCCAGCCCTCTCAGCCGCTAGACACGCGCCACTTTTCCATGCATAGAAGTGATGAACGTTTTTGTCTTGGTCAGTGCAACTCTCACATATTCCTGACACGAGGTTTTCAAAAGAGTTGAAGGTTATTAGAACCCGAATTATTTTGATAGTATGCATGTGCCTGGAAATAGTTAGAACTACTTGATATAATAGTGTGTATGAACGCTGCTGGTCAGAGGTTGGAGCTACGCAGACGTTGGAACACCACGTACGTACTCCCTACACAATCGACCTAACCAGGTTCGAATAACAAAGAAGAAAAAGTGAATTGTAGGATAAATAGTTTCTGCCTGGCCAATAGGTCTCCATTGCAGAGCTGTTGAAAGAAGAAGAGAAAATTGCTTCGCTTTGCTCGAGGAAAAACGACAAAATGGCAAGAAAATTGTAAACGCCATGTCCACCCAAATACCCCCCTCCTACCTGCTTTCACAAAGAAAAAAAAAAGAAAGGAAAGAACTAGATTCGGCCATACTGTGTGTGTGTGGTTTTGTTCCTTTTTTACCATGTCTGCGCCAGTTTGTCCTTTTTTTGGTGCAGGACCAGAAACACTTGTGCTGTCAACCGTTGACCCCTTTTTTTCGGCACCAAAATTCTAAATCTTCATTGTTTTCCTCATATCGCTGAATCAACGCCTGTTTAGTTGCTGAACAAATCAAATCAAAAGTACATCCACCGATGTATCCTCAAACGCTGTCCCTGGGGTGGTTAAGAATCAGCTAGCTTGGCAAAGTGTTTGGACCAAATCCAGCCAACCATCTCTGCTGGATCGTCTTGGTTTTTGGCCAGCCACAGCTCTCCCTTCTCTGCAATGATGTCGAAAATCTATCATCTCACCAGATTAGCGACTGCAGAACAGCGGTTATCAAACAGCGATGGCTTACCTCGCCGGCTTGGTACGTTAGATACGGGTAGCCAGCTTCGTGCTTGGTCGTTTCGATATTGAACTCAAACAAAGACGCCGCAAGCCATAATACATTGTAGCCGTCTGATGTTCGGCCCCTCTCGCGAGATGATGCGCGAGATGATCGTTGGCTTTCCTCTGGGCCATCAGGCATAGGAAGCGCAGAGTGGAACAGGTTGGAGAACCTGGGATTTTCTTGCTGCACCTGACTAGACGTGTATGTCGTGGCGGTGGAGTCTGGTCGATGAGTAGATGTCACGTCTGAGCTTTGCCGTTGCAACGCTCCAGAGTCAAAGCTCCTACCCGTACTAGGGCGTGTAGATGTGTGGCCAGTGGCTGTGTTGGAGCGCGAACGTCCAGCCATGTCGCCAGATTTGAGAGACGGCGAGTGGGTGCTGTTTCCTTGCATACCACCGTAAAAGTCTCGATAGTAGTATTGATGCGGATTGGTGACTGCAGCCACATTACTAGTAGAGCTGGCTGCACTGGGTGACATGGTAATGCTGGCACTGCTGCGCTTGCCAAAGTCCGGAGTCGGCAATGTTGGTGCACTTTCGTCATTGACAGACGACCCGCGTCCACGGCGTTCAATCTCAGAGTACCGGTATCGATACTCTGTAGATTGTGATGACCGCACCTTCAGATCAGGATTCAATATGCCAATGGACGCAATCTGATCCGCGGCATAGGGGTAGTCTCGGTTGAAAGTGGCGACGATATCATCGATGGTTGGGACATCTGGACCATCACTCAAAACTGTCCTCAGCTTCTCTGCCCAAGTCTTATACCAGCTGGCTTGGATGTTCACAAAATTTCCAAGACATATCTTGCCAACCTTCTCAGTCATGCTGGACAGCTTGGGAAGCTCAGCCTTCAACGCATCATTGAGTGCATCGTACTGCTCAACGAGCTCCCTCAGCTTTGGCTCTAATGTCTTTCCGCCACGTCGTTGCTGATCAGCTCGCTCGTAATCGAGACGGCGTTTCTGTCGCTTCTTCATCGCGAGCGAAGGATTGCCGTAGGCCTTGATGACCTGCTCGAAAGGCTCGATGACTTGCTTTCGTACTTGCGCAAGATGACCCTCCAATGCCACCTTTTCCAAATCTCGCATGGAAATGTTGAACTGAACCCATTTGCTTTCAATTTCAGGGAAGTTGCCAGGCTGCAATCTCATAACCAATTCAATCGACGAAAGATACTGCAAAAATTCGTGCACATATTGGGATACTTGCCTCGTGTAGAACTCAACGTCACGAAGAACGACTTGCAGCTGGACAAAGTCATCGCCAAACTTGTCGTGCAGTTTCGCATAGATTGGGTCATCGGGAACACGACTGCTGGACGACTGTAGCTTATCAACGCGCTTACCAAAAGCACGAGCAAAGCCAGCCTTGACATCCGTGTCCTTGTGCTTTCTGCCAACAATCTGCCCAACCAACTCAAAATTCTTCTTTGTCTTGTTGATTTCAATAATGGCAGTTTCTAGCGAGTCCCTCGTTGCAGTGAGACGCTCTCGATCCGGGTGGTCCTGGGGAGTATGCTGCAGCAGAGTCATTATCAGGTTCGGGTATTTTGTAATCCTCTGCATTGGCTTGATGAGGAGCGAGTCAAGGTCCCAAGCTGCGGTCAGGTCTTTCGCAACTTCATTGCACTCCGTGAGCCAGACTTTGACTGCAGAATCCTGTTGGATTTGTATGAGTCTCTTGGCAGCCTGGTCACTGTTTCGCAGAAAACCTTCATGAATAGTCTTCATGCGGTCTAGATGACGCTGGAAAACAGGGCCAATCGTAGTTTCCCGATCGCTGGCGTCACTGATGTCGCTTGACTTGGTGCTTCCCGGCTCCATGCTTGCTGCTAGTTGAGGGGCTTTTGCGGTTCGACCACCTTTGGGAACATATACCGGAGCAACTGCAGCCTTCACTTCAGCCAAGAATAATGTGTGAAATTCAATAATTTCATGACTGTTGCGGAAAATGAGCTTGACTGTCTGGTCGTCTAAGCGCGGGCATGCTTCAGCAGTTCCTTTGTATATCTCCTCGACAATGTTCATGTCCCGCACAAATACGGCTTCGGTATCGACCAGTTCCTTGATGACATTGCGTCGTTGCATCAGGCGATGCCGCTCCTTCTCTGAAGGAACATCCCCATCCTGAAGGAGAGACTTTCCATCGCTATCAGTCCCAGCAACCTTGCTAGAGTCATTGTCGGCCGTGTCAAAAGAAGTGGTGTCGATCGATTGAGGTGTGTTGGCGTAGGTTATATAGACTTCGCTATTTCGCTCCGAGTTGATTAATGTGCTAGTGGACTGAGAGGCCTCATAAATAGCGCTGGGGTTTCTGGAGTGATCTGCGGAGCCGTTTGTGGAATTCGGAATAGGTGGCGGTTCGTGTACAGGAGGTGAAGGAAGAAATGCTAATCCGTGGCTTGGCCCAGGTGACAAGTAGGGTATCGAGAATCCTTCACCTGTGTCAAGCTCGGGAAGTTGGTGCTCAGTCGGTGTTGGGGGCAGTTCCTTCTCGAATCGTGAAATCGGGCCATCCACAAAAGAGTCCTGGCGTGAACTCGTTGCCAAGGGAAAAGGAGCTGTGTGATGAGCAGAGCTTGGGCTACTCATGAACGTCTCCGATCCCGCAGTGTCGAGCTGCCTTGAGCTATCAACGGAGAGGTCTGTCCACGTGGATTGATGACTCGCGCGGTCGGGACGGAATCTTGGAGATGGTATCCCAAGAGTGCCGGCCAGAGGGTACGAGCCACGCTCCGATGTAAATGGATGCAGATCGTCAAAACCGCTGACATCCGAAGAAGCGCACGTCGACGCTCTCTTGGAATCCAGCTGATCGCCATATCTGAGGTCGTATGCCCGCTCATATTGATCGTGATCGTCGGTGTCTTCGGTGCATGCATCTGTCGTTGCTGCCTCTGAGCGTGGATAAGCAGCGTGCTGCATGCTTTGGCTACCATCTACCTCGGATTGGCAATCAGATTCTTCACCGAGTTCCTGCGCTCGAAACAGCCCAGTTGCGCCGGGCTGCTGGGCCTGCTCCTGTACTTGTGGTTGCGGCGTTATGAACGAAGTATGGCCGTGGAAAGACGTAGATGTAGATGGTAGATCTGGGCTGACATCGGCCAACATGAATTGAGAATGTTCTTGCGCCTGCGCACGCGGCTGCGCATCTCCAGCCTGCAATATCGGATATTGATATTCGGTGTTCGCATTTACCGAGGTCGGCGCAGCTAGATTAGGGCTTGGGGGCTTCACAACAGTAATGGGCACCTCCGGTAGATGCTGAGCAGGAACTGGTGGCGTAGTCTGGGCTTCTCCGTCAAATTCGGTGGCTTCAGACATAGCAGACGCTATTGAAGCTCGTTTATCGATTAGTGGCATCGTGGGGCTAGGGTGAGGGTAGCTGCCTGGAATGCCGAGTGTAGGTGAGTCTTCAACGGCATCGAAACTAGCGTTAGCCACTGCTGGAGATATCGCTAATGGCACTGCTGCTGTCGGCGACTCGGTTTCTGACATGGGTGTCGGAGCAGCATCACTGACATCTCTGGCAGCTCGATCGATAGCATCGCGGGGAATTTGGGGAACTGGGGGAATGTCGGTGCTGTTGGCGGTTGGTTTCGTGGCAGTAGCCGAGCCTCGATCGTTCCTTCTAGCCAGTGTCGCAGCCTTTTTCTTTGCTTCTAACGCCTCAGATTCACGGATGGATTTACTATATGCCAAGCGAATATGTTCTCGCCGCTGTTCGAAGTCGATCGGCCCCGCGGATATTTTTCTTCTTCTTGATACGGGTTCCTTGCCCTTGGAGCGGGCAGACTTTGCTGTTCCAGGGTCCTTGGCTTTATTGGATGTGTTGGCTAATGGTTGGCGCGGCCGCGAGCTTCGTAGCGTGGGGGAAAGATTCGGAGATGTCATCGATGGAGACCGTAACCTTCCGTTGCTGCCATTCGCGGAATTGTTGATGCTTGGTGGGGGCGGCCTTCGCTCCCTCGTAGCTGGAGTCGGCGTTTTATTTAATGATGTGGGTGTCTTGGCTCGAGAGGGTGGAGGCGTGATTCTCGAGATCTGACTGCTGGCGGGTGGTGGCTGGCGAAGGTTTGCAGGTGATGTTCCGCGTGAAGGTGAGTTATCGCCCGAGCTGCTTGTTGGGCTATGTAGCCTTCGTACGGCAATGGGCAATTTTGAGGCGGAATGGGCAATGGGGGTATTGCTTAAGCCTGTCCGTATTGCATTCGGGGTTCTGTTGGAGGAGCTGCGGGATGAAGCATCGCTTTGCGACCGTGTGCGTGGGCTGTGAAAGCCGCTGGCTGGTGACTCGCTGGCCTGGGCCTGATGCGTCGCAGCACTGGTGTAAGAACTCGGCAGCGACGACAAATCCACATCTTGCTCTTGATCTGGTAGGCTGTGAAACGTAGATTTTGTGAGAACGCTAGAGTCTGAGATTCTCCGGGGGCGAATCTCGTCGATGCCGAACCCAGCCGCCGTCAGAGAGCCATGCTGCTCTGGGGCAACCTCACCAAAAAGAAGGCCTGATGCTTGACCGGGCCGCTGCTGCGCGTGTGGTTTTCGGGACAGCTGGGGGGGAGAAGAGGGGTTATTGGCGATAACAGACTTATTGATTCGGCTGGCAAACGATTGATTGCTGCTAAAGGACCGTGTGGAAGCCATCTGACGCGGGGATGCGCCAGCAATGCCGTTGGCTGCGGGCAGTTTGTGTGCCTTGGGTACAACAAGGCCGTTGCGAGCTGCGATGGAAGATTCAGTGAGACCGCGACGCTGCCGTGGCATTGACTGAGGCATACTTGGGGTTGTTGAGGAAGCTCCCTTTTCATCAAACCTTTTCTTGAGATCTTTGACACTTGGACCACCCTTGGGTCTCACAACTGGACCCGAGACCGATCGTGTGCCTTGCGGCAGAAGTGGAGCGCGGGTTGGCTGTGAAAGGAGCTCGTCAGTGAGGCCCGAGCTGCCTGCACTGTTATTGCCGTTTGGGAGGATCGGCTGCTGCGTGAGTGTGGATGTCATGGCTGAAGAGGTCGAGGGAGAAGCGGTAGCGTCGACTGAAGCGAGGATTGGAGTGGACGCAGAGGCGCCGACAGCCGGCCGGTAGGATTTGTAGAAATCGTCAGGCTCTATAGAGATAACGGGGAGAGCATCGCGAGCAAGATGGGATGCCGACACAGCAGCGGCGGGCAATGGAACCGAAGCGGAGGCAGATGCAGATGCTGCAAGTGTTGCGGGGGGAGGCTGATCGTGAAGGGCGGCGGCAGCGGGTGAGGGTGCGTAGACGGCAACGGGCTCAGGGTGAAGGAGGCGCGTATCAGGATGCGAGCGGTCTTCTGCGCCGGCAAAAAGGTCGAGGGGTGGCGGGCCGGTCGGTGTGGGAGCCGTGGTGATGGTTTGTGGATGAAGGGCGCTCGTGTCTGGAGGGCCAGAGTCTGGGTCCTGCTCCATGATGGGCAGAACCTAGCTAGGCATGGGTCGGGCTCGACGGGCGAAGCGACTGGTCGAGAGGACGACAGGATGGCCATGCAGGCGCGAGCATTGATGCGCTGGCTGGGCAGAATCTGTTGGCGAAAACAGGACGCGGGAGGACGATTGGGAGATGGGGCCTTCAGTTTGGGGTGCGACAGGGACAGGGAACAACGAGTGGTGGATGGCAGACGGGCGGGCGCCCAGGCGCGTTGTGGCTGGTGGAGAGGGAGAATGAAGGGCAAAGGTGTGCTGGAAAAGTGGCTGACGAATCTTGGACAGCGGACAACGGACAGCGGACAGCGGCCTTGGGGCCTTTAGCGTGTTTTTGCTAGTGCCTCCAGTGCCTGGTTTTGCCGTGTTTTAGTGGCTAGTGGCTTGTGGCTTGAGGCTTGCGCTGCTAATATCGAGGGAGGCATCCGTACACCGATTGAGCTTTGACACGCCAGCCCATCCGCCGGATGCAAGCCTGCCTCTGCCAATCTGCCTCGCCATCTTGGGTAGCGATTCATTCAGAGCCCGATCTCTCTCTTGAGCGAACGGTATATCTCGTATTTTACCCCATACTTGTACTGATGTGTATGTCTCTGATACAGCAGCTATAGCCACCTGCCAGCCAGTATATACAGGCATGTCCAAATGTACAATCGCCGCCCGCGCAATAACCATCAACTCAAAGTGCAAGGAACCATGGCACCATTATCATGGCAATAACACGTGCTTTTCATAATATCTTGTACTTGCAATTTGTACTCGTTGTTTGAGGGAAACTACATCTCCCTGTACACTTCCTTCCTGCTCGACGCCGCCATGCCACGCTGGATATTTTGCAAACGCACGAAACCTAGACCATTTGCTCAACAACCATCTCGTCTGTCAATAATAAAAACAGGTCACATCACTTATTATGTGGCTTGCTTGATGAGACAATAGGCTAGGTAGGGGCCTGCGGCGCGCGCATCCTTTGTTACTAAAACGAGCCTCCTTCGTCACTCCGAGGTCGCTTCTGCGGATCTCTTTATTAATGCCCTGGTTCCTGTAATAATTATGTCTGCGTAATAATTAGCACTTGCTTGATCAGTTTATCCGAAGCTCCCTCCGCTTTGGAACAACCAGTCCTGCGCCAGTACGTGCAAGGGTGCACCACACGCACAAAGGTGGTTACGCAGGCCAAAAGTTTTGCACACGAGTTGGCCTTCTCCCCACGTAAATCATCTCGCGCGACCCGACGCCATGGCCGTGTCCGATGATCATGGGTCAATCGACGCCTTTTGCTGTGAGAACCTAGACCACAAGCCGCACAGACATGACGGACGATACGCGAACAAGCCAGGGGCAAGGTCGGGGCGCAAAAAGAAAAAACGTCGCTCGAGGCTTTCCGACCTAATAATAAACTCAATATCATCTCTGGGCTGTCCGTGCTCACAAAGTGGTTGGACCGGCCGTCTTGGTATCAACTCCGAACTCCTTCTTGGTGCGCTCCCGAGCCAGTGAGGAATAAGCGACGTGTTACAGCTCATGCCGTCCCTGTATCGGCACAACCCCCGTTGGCGATTTGAAACAGAGGCGTTTTCAAAGCCGCAAAATTTTCTTCTTAACCCACGACTGGCCCCTGTCTCTTGGTCAATTTGCTGCCACTTTGTTTGTGGCCTCTTCCGTTCCGATTTACATGCAAAGGCTAGGGGAAAGGTCACAAAAGAAATTTGCATATGCAGCATCAGTCATACATGATACAGCAACACCAAGTCCGATTAACAGGTCAGGTGGTCCCTGTCAATCGCTGCAACCGTCCACGCGGCCACTGCAACACAGCTGCATCTGGAGCAGGACAGGGCGTGCGAATTGATATGCCGTTGCCAAATAAACAATAAAGGCACGAGCCCTATATTGTTGGTCCAATTGTTAGATTTCAACGTATACTGTACAAATTAATAATGGAAAAAATGCCAATAGCCTGGCTTATTAGAATTGATCGTAGTAACTACCTCACAATAACACCTAGGTACTAAGGTAATCAATCATTCAAGTCATTGAACGACAGGCTAGCACCGCCACATCGAGTCGATGAGCCACAGGCATCCAGCCACAGGCATCCAGCCACACTGCATTGAACCTTAGCTTGTACGGATGGGTTGTCGCTGCCTTTGCGTGCATGTGCCTGTGTATATCTCACGCGACATTCGGAAATGAATTCTAGTTCAATGTCTTTATCAAGATGACCAAGCGGAAGAGAGCTCAAAAAGACGCGTCAAGCGGTAAAAATGCCAAGGGGCAGCCTGCACCGCATCCACTGCATCGCGACCTTCTCAACTTCTTCTATCCCCATTGCATATCGCTCCGAGAATATGCTCTTGCGAGTCTACCGCAAACTTCACGGCTACGTCGACGCAAGATAAAATCACTCGGGACAATCCCCGAGCGCTTCGAACTTGAAAAGGACCTATGCTGCCTACTCGACTCCACGCTTGTCTGCTACCACCAGCTGACACCCGACGTAGCGGACAACAGATGGGAGCAATGGCTATCTTTTTCACAGAGGGGCGAAGACTCGAGCGTTTCACTCACCGGAGGCTCGCCAATATATTCCCAGTCCGAGGTTTGTTCAGCACCCGAACCGGCTCAGTTGCCCGACTAACCCCGTCCAGATTGTCGACTTTGTCATCTGGCTGATCTTTTCGCGGGACAACAACGGCTTCTTTGGCCCCAAGCATCTGCTATGTGACGGATACCGGAGGAGAGCCACCGAAAAGGCAGAACCAGAAAGGATTCCCGGCGTCTTCAGCCGGTACCCAAACGATCAGGTCGCGAGTCTCAAGGCAGGCCCGTGGCCGCAGTTGTTGAACCTGCTGGGTCGGTCTGGGGAGAGGATCATGATCAACATGCTTGTTGATTGCTCAATATTTGTGGCTATGGAGTCGGGGTTAAACAACTTTTACCAGATCTCCGGTATGAGTGTCGCTCGTGTGATGTCTTGGGCGCCGCTAATCTACTGATCAGGATACCCAATATCAGAGCTTGAACATGGATTGGAGATGAAAAAGGGTCCCGAAAAGGGGATTTGTGCGCGGAAGCTATCCGAAATCTCTCTGGTGAGAAGCAGAGTGTTTTATGCGCGGCCCCCGATGACGTCCAGAGGGCACATAGAGGCGGGATACAGACATATACGTGAGTACCAGCACCTCGGCAGCTGGTCCGCTCATCAAATATTGACGACCCTAGATGCTTTAAATCGATATAATTATATACCCGAACATGAAAGTACCGAGTCAATCGTCACTCAAAAAAACACGCTCAACACAGCCAAGGTCATGATGTACGTCTTCCCACGACAATTTGGCCTCCACAACGTCTTCACCTCCACAGTCGACTCAAAGACGACGGTACAGAAACTCCAGGACTACACCGTGAGAGACGACGAAATTGCACAGCACATGCGCTCTGATAAGAACTTCCTCACGCAAGGGGTGCCCAAAATTCCCAAGCGCCTACGGGGCGCAGCCCGAGATCTCGTCCGTCGACTGCAGATTCTCCATCGCCGGTGCTCCTACATTGCGCTTATCCGGCACTATTGCGCGTCTCCTCTAGATCCCCTGCGGGAAAGGACGCAAAAGAACAACGAGCCCACCTCCACGTCCAAGACTGCCCCGAGTCAGGCCGCCGACGGAAAGTCGAGCAAGCAAGCTACTCCCTCGCAGACGCAGCGACGTACGCAGGACTCCCGTGTCTTCCAACTAGACCCTTCTGTCCCGATCGTGGACTTGGCGACGCCGGTCAGTCACGTTTCGGTCTTTCTTCAAGCAGTCCTGTCCAAGATTCTCCCCGGCGCGTTTCTAGGCGAAGGCGATGATCTCCGCCACAACCAGGCACTGCTCGCCAAAAAGGCGCATCACTTTGTCACACTACGGAGGTTTGAAAGCATGAGTCTGCACGAGCTGTCACAGGGCTTCAAAGTATATACTCTCAACATCTGCATACGGGGGCTCTAAGCTGACCCGAGGCGCAGATTTCTAGTTTGGCTTGGCTCCAGCTGCCTGGCCGCGGCGACCAGAAACCGAGCCAAAACGAGACCTTTAAGCAGCTCGAACTCTTCCACGAGCTTTTGTACTACATTTTCGACTCTCTTCTCATTCCCCTGATGCGCAACACCTTTTACGTGACCGAGTCCAACACCCACCGGTACCAAGTCTTTTACTTTCGGCACGATGTCTGGAAACTCGTCTCCGAGCGCGCGCTGAGGGCCATGAAAGACGGCATGCTCGAGGAGCTCAAAGTAGGCGACGTCCAGCGCGCCGTGGAGTCCCGGCGGCTGGGATTCAGCCAGATCCGCCTGCTGCCAAAAGGCACCACCCTGCGTCCCATCATGAACCTTCGCCGGCGATATCCCCTGAAGCAAAACAAGAAGATGCTCGGCCCTAGCATCAATACTGTCTTGGCTCCCATTCACAACGTGTTGAAGCTCGAAAAGGTCAGATCGGAGGCGTTTTGTCTATGCCAAAAGAGGAGTATTCACTAACCCGTTGTCAACAGCGTCTCAACCCATCGAAACTTGGTGCGACCCTCTTCTCTGTGGGAGACATATACAATCGGCTCAAGGAGTTTCGCCGCAAACTGCCTGATCCGCTCCCGCGGCTGTACTTTGTCAAGGCCGATGTCCAATCCGCCTTTGACACGATCCCCCAGGAGGCTGTCCTCAAGCTGATGGCGGCCATCCCTAGCCACGAACACTACAAAATCTTCAAGCACGCCGAGGTAAAGCCGGGGGAAAGACCCCCTACTAACACTTGCACAACCGCCCCCGACGGCGCCAGCACGTCACATGCCCAAGCACCGTCCAGACCCATCCGCCGCTGGCACTCGACCGCGCATCCAGGCGACGAGTCAGGCCGCTTCCACCAGCGCCTCGACGGCCAGTCCTCCACCAGCGGCATCGCGGCGCAGCAGCCGCAGCGCAAAAACACGGTCTTTGTCAACAGCGCCGTGCAAAGCGACCACGACACGCGCGGCCTGCTGCGGTTGCTCGCCGAGCACGTCGCGGACAACCGGATCCGGGTGGGCAAGAAGACGTACCGGCAGCGGCGGGGCATCCCCCAGGGCTCGGTGCTGTCGTCGTACCTGTGCAACTACTTTTACGCTGACCTCGAGGCGCGGCACCTGCGCTTCCTCGACGACAGCGGCAGCCACCGCAGCGTGCTCCTGCGGCTCGTCGACGACTTCTTGCTCGTCACCACGGACAGGGCCCGCGCGCGGCGCTTCGCCGCCGTGCTGCACCGCGGCGTGCCCGAGTACGGCGTGCACGTCAGCCCGCACAAGTCGCTCGCCAACTTTGCCCTGTCCGTGCCGCCCGCCGGCGGCGGCGATGACGGACCCCCCGTGCCCATCGCCACGGTCCACAGCACCGCCGACTTTCCGTACTGCGGCGTGCGCATCAGCTGCCGCACGCTGGAGATTAAAAAGGACTGCCAACGCGAGCAGCAGACTGGTGAGTGGTGCAGACTGAACGCCCCCTGGGTACTGTTGGCCTCTTTCCTATTCCCCGGCCCGCTAACTCCATGCACCACCAGACGTGGCCAATACCCTGACGGTTGAGCACAGCCGCGTACCCGGCCAGAATTTCCAACGAAAAGTCCTTCGTGAGTCTCCTCTATTCCACCACCCCCATCCTACTACTTCTTCCCCTTTCGCTCCTCTTCCGTCTCTGGCAGTGCCATTCCCTCTATTTCTCCCAAAAAAAACACAACATGGAGCCCTGTCCCTTCATTCGCTTACCGCCCCGGGGCTGCAACAGATGCTTTCAAGATCCAGTCGCACCTCATGTTCTACGACACGAGCCACAACTCGCCCGCGACGGTGCTCGACACGCTGCGGGCCGCCTTTCGGCAGACGGCTCTCAAGATGTGGGCTTACATGCGGGCGCTTCATCGAACCGCCCGGCCGCGGCCTGGCCTAGTCAAACGTACGTGCTGTGTTTCTCCTCTTCTGGGATGGCCGTGTATGCGTCAAGTCGGCGACTAACAATGTCTTTCTCCATGATGATAGTCACCATAACGAGGACGGTGGAAGCCTCGTACCTAATTATAACTAGTAGGTTTCGCAAGCTCAAATACCAGGGATACGAGTGCTCCGTTCGCAAGACCCAGGTTACTCGGTGAGTCTACCCTCGAGTTCAAATGAGCTGGCCAACGCTCTGTTGTAAAGCTTGCATGTTTGACAAGGCTGACTTTTCATCTTTATCTGTCAGGCTGGCGTATGAGACGTTTGAAGAGGTCCTGCGTACCAAGCAAACACAGCACGCCGAGGTCCTCGAATGGCTTCGTCGCCAGATTGCCAAACAAAAGGGGCAGGTTCTTCTATCATAGTACACGGGTGGTGTCAAGTTGCCATCAACCCAACTGTAATTGTGTAACTTTAAATGATGTATGTAACGTCTATCTTGAATGGATTCTGACCTATGTTCTGTTCGTATGCGTTGCAGCGCGCTGTCGTCAAATGGCGATGCCGCTCTGCCACCAATGACGACCCGAATGCCATCGGAAAACGTAGGAGCTGTCCCAACGCCACACTGCGTCACCTGGGAAGCCAAATCCCAGGGCTCTAAAAACTGAAAAAGGCACAGGCTCCAGCAGCCAGAGCCCCATGGCGGCCATGTCGTCGTTGAAAAGGGCCGCCGTGGCGTAGAGCCACAGCAGTGTAAACAATGCATTTCCAGCGCGCCGCATAGTAATGTGGATGACGGGAAATGTTCTCTGTAGTATAGAAGCCAGCTGTTGTTGCAAAATGATGCCAACACCTTGCAGCAAAAAAAAGACGGGCTGGCTCCAGAGCTTCGTTGAGGGAACAGCGGACAGACTCCCCATTCCATGAAGGAGACCTGACATGGCAAATGTACTCAGCAAGCCCACGAGGTTCCCCGACATGGTGCCTTTGCGTATCAGTCCCTTCTTCAGTAAGAATGCAGAAGGGCCGAGGAACTGCTGCCGAAAGGTCTGGTGCCACCAAGAACCCCAGAGTCCGGCAAGACCTCTGTCAAACACCTCACCAAAGGATCCAAACGCAGACGTATACAGCCATGGAATATTCCGATATGGGCACCAGTATATAACAACGCAATAGTGAGCCATGTCCGCCACGCTATATGCCGCTGCCACGGCCCAGAAGGCGCCGGTGATTGAAAACAGCTGGCGGTATGCCTCGAGACGCCATGGAGACAAGCCAGCTAGGTACCACGGCAGGGCATATTCTACAGACTTTTCACGTCCAAAGATGAAGTAAGGATCCTTCATCATAAAAGTGCCGAGGAAGTCTAGCACGAGACATGCCCCAACCAATACTTTGAGGCGGTGCCGCAAAAAGCTTACGGGAGAGTGTATGTATTCAAACCCGGCTCTGGTGACCGATGGAATAGAGGCGACGCAAACCGGCTGCCCGTCTTGAATAGCAGTCGATGTATACGGCTTGGGGATAACAGAGATGGAACTGCTCCAGCCAGCTCCACGGAAGCTGAGAACCAAATCTGCGGCCCAGCCCAGCCTGGCAAGAATGGGGGCTTCGGACGGGAAACGTTGCCAAATGTAGGAAGAGGTCGTGTCAAAATCAGGGGTATCGACAATGTGCGATGCTGTTGATTCGCTTTGAGGTTTGAGGTGGGGGTTGGTGGCCGCCGTTCCTGGGCAGGCGGTATATTCTGGCTTGGCAGATGGCTGTGGCGGCGGGAGCTCGCCCAGAGGTGCAAAAGCCCTGTCTGGATATTTCCCGAAAGAGACTTTGATGATCCTGGCAGCATCACGCTGTGGGTTGGTCAGTATCATGTGCTGGAAGCACAGCATGGTGCCATAGGTTGACATGAGACCCGAAACCACTGCCCATCCCACATTGTTGCTAGACGCCCGCGCTGCCTGCTCATAATTGACAAGGAGAGCAAGTACAAAGATGAACCATCTCGCGCGATACAGCCAAGAACGGCCATTGTGTGGAATGGCAAGCCAGATGATGGGCAAAATGAACGGAATGAAAAAGGCTTGTGGAAGGACGATCTGGCGGCGTTGCCCTTGTTCCACTTGTTCGAAGAAGATCTGACGGTAGCTAGAGAGAGCTAGGGGCGCAAGCGGAACTTGTGATGCCGCCATTGACTCTACCATCATGTTTCTCTGGCTATGCTCGTGTGTGCGGCCAACCTTTTAGGGGAGGTGCAAGGTCGCAAGTTGCCGTGGGCACGTTGCGACTCGACAGCTGACACGCATTCGCTCGTCGAGGATGGCAAAAGGATACCTACCAAGTGACCGTGGATGCTCGGAGACTTGAGGTCAGCGATGATGTTGGTTTCATCACCTTGATGCCCGAGCAGATATGGAAGAGCAAGTCGGATCTGGTTGCCACGGTTCCTGCCTGGATTTGCCCGCCGTCGGGGGAGATTTCGACTCGCAATGATGTCGAAAAGCTCAAAGCAACGAATCAGTGAAAAAAGGGTCACTCGCCAGCTTGATTTATCCGCTTGGGCAATCGGTCGTTTGCTCCAAGCCACGATAGTGCTCCACGGGCAAGTCTCGCCGTTTGTCGAGCTCTGGTTTTGCTTTTCAGGGCCACGGAGTATTAGCAGACCGCACACCTTCAAATTGCGCCACAAACGTGACGAATAGAGTGCGTTCTTGGGGAGATGCCGAGCCGTAGGGAGTGAGTGCATGTATTGATGGATGGATGTGACGTGCAAGGATGGAATTTGGGGGCTACCTGTTAATTTGTAGTGGTTGACTAGCGGTTGGGGGTTGGGGCCAGACAAGCCTTGTTGGGCAGGTGGCACAGATTGTCAGGTACCGCCAGCTGGGCGCGATCGGATGAAGCAGACAGCAGAGTGAGCTGGCGGAACCATCGCAGCCTGGCCGGCCACGAACGTGGGTTCTGAGTTGGTTACACGAGATTGAACTAATGTTAAATAGAAAATGGCAGCTAAAAGAATATCTCACTAATTTTGTAGGTAGTGGTAACGGCTGAATCTGTTGAGCAAATGACGACTAACGTTATCCGTAATCTGTACTTTGTACCAAAATAGAATCCATCTGCGGCCCACTCAGTGCAGAGTGTGGTCCCATTTCTCGTGGAAATTCAGTAGGTAATAGTATGCCCACTGTGTCTCCATGCCTCTAGAACGCAAGACATGAATAATTTCAGAGGAACCTGTCGTTGAAGAAAGAAACTAGTCTTCATAGTAAATAAGAAAACGCGCTACACATCTCATCTGAGCTCGGCTCTACTTTGTCCCGGCCTCGTATCATATATACAGATTGGATATAGTCTGTGGGGCTGACAGCTCGAGAATCAACGAGCCTCGCCTTTTTTTTCTTTTCCTTTTTTTTTTGGCTCCCTCCAACTTCAATTCCACCAAGTGAGAAGAGCCAATTCGTTATGAGAAGCGTCGCCAATGCTGCTCAGGCCGTTTACGAAGTCGCCATGGCTCTTTGTCAGATTCTCCAGCAGCAACCCTGCTCGCGTTATTCTTAGAACCCCCTCCCCTCCCCAACTTAAAGCTGCTCGTACATGCGGGGCCGCATACCTATGATTCATCCGCCAAGGTTGGTGCGCGCTGGCGTATTCTGATGCCATTGGTGCTCTAAACGGGGGGGCCAGCACAAAAGAAGGCAAAAAGTGCCGCCCAGCAAGGGAGGGATCAAAAATACAACCCTCCCGTGTCCACCGCCCCCGGCGCAGGAAAAGCAAGGCTGAGAGAGCCCGTGTCGAGCGCTCGGGGGAATGACACCCTCCGCAGGGAGCCCAGCTCGGCCAGAACTTGATCAGCGACCGAGCCACTTGCACGAACCAAGTCACGGTTAGTCGCAGCCCTACATTTAGCGGTTTCCCCTCTTTTGTCGTCTATGGTGGGGGGCTGCTCGTTCTGGGACTAGATGCGGCGGCTTCGTGAGTTTCGAGGCCTTCAGCTCCGAGGCTGGGCTGTGGCCTCGTCTCACGTCGTTGCCGCCCTTGGCATGGCATGGCGTGCGGTTCTGGCAACAGCTTTTGTGTCAGGGCTCATCGTATGGTGTACAAATTACTGGCCGTAACTGCCAGCACACGCCCACAGGAACATGCGGGATTGGCTCCAGGCGACAGCTGCGGGAGGCACACCCACTAGCCTAGGTACCTACCTAGGTAGGTATCCATCCATATCCCACTGTAATTGACCTGGATAGTGTCGACCGAAGGTGTGTCAACACACCTCGCAAACAGGGGAGGAATAGGCCGTTAACTCCATCAGACTTGTAAACCCGGCAAGGCAGCCTATCATGACTTTGAAATATATACTCCACCACCATCCCTCCATCCGAACACTCGCTAGTCTGCCACGTTGGGATCTAGTACTCCGTATCCGTACCTACTGAGCTGGGATATAAAGTCCACCAGCCCTGGCCCGTTTTTACTTTGTTTCCTCTTGTTGAACGAATTCTCGATATACATGAAATTAATCCCATACATTCCATTTTTTTACAAGTGACCGTTGCTAAACAATTGTCGCAAACTAGCTCGTGAAAAGATTCAGCGCCGACCCGTTACCTACCTACGCTACAATTTCCGAACCGTCCGTCCTCAGCGGCCCTACTGTACAGCCTCGTCAGCTCTGCAGCACCAGCCAGTTTTTCGATTCTCACAATCGCTCTTGCCCTCCCGGGAATACAACCCCATTTCCCTCCAACATCATTCCTCGTGTCCTTTTCGCCCACCAGAATAAAGAAAATGTCTTTTACGAAACCTGCCGCCCCGGGAGACGTTCCCAAACACCGAGCCTGCGATGAGTGCCGTAAGTTGCCTCCACCCTCTTCTTCCCTTGCCATCCCTACATCGCCGCATGCAAAATAGGCGAGGAAAAAACAAGAACAAAACTCACCCTCAACAGGCTCGCGCAAGCTCGCCTGCTCCAAAGAAGCCGACGGCTGCGCCCGCTGCAAACGCGAGCGCATCCCCTGCTACTACTCGCCGCAGAAGCCCATGGGCCGGCCGCGCAAGCGTCGCCCCGCCGACGAGGAGCCCGCCGCCGTCCACCGCCGCGCCG